ACTATGTGACATACGTATAACCTAAAATAAATAATTACTTTAGCATTAAGCAACTCATACACTCTTAAAAGAAAGTGTAAGAACCTTCTTATGAAGAACTATTTTTGGCTGTAAACGGTTCTTCCGCTGCTGTATAGTTCTTTAGAGACTAAAAACGTTCATGCTATTATATCACATGTTTCTCAAGATGAGTGTTTTGGATTCTGGGTTCTTTAACACCACAGTTATATTGATGATTTTCTAAAAACACAAACATCTATAAGTCTGTATGCTGCTATCTCAAGAACATTATTACAGAAGAGTCTCTCTCTCTCTCTCTCTCTCTCTCTCACTGTAATCTGTGCTTTAATGATAGTGTTAGTGAGATGAGAAGTGGACCTGCCGTCTCCAACCCCTCCCGTCTGTCATCCATAAAAACAGGCTCCTGTCTGTACTGCAGCCTGATTCCTCTCCGCTGACACGCACATCAAAGTCAGGCCCCGGTTTATCACATATCAGGGCCCGGGGACAGCGGAAACAAGACGGGGACGGTCCTAACACTGAGCCTTACTGGAATATAGAAACCTACAATGCAATTACAGACAGATCAGTGACAGATAAGAGAGGAATGAGATCGGCCTGTTTGTTTGGCCTCTCGCTGAAAGAGAGAGACAGATAGAAATGAAGATATGATGAAAGAGTGTAAACAAATTATCTGCTCTTTGAACCTTTAAATGGACTGAAGAGGGAAGAATATATACAGACTCAACTCTCTGAATGATTTTACTCTCATTGCTTGGTCGTTTGAGAAGATGAATGGACAAATTATATAATTTCTCTATTTATTTTACATTATTACATCTTTGCAAGTTATTAAAAAGGAGCCACTTTTCATAATTCAACTATTCATAATTAAATAAAAATAATGTAATGTTAATTTTACAGCATAAAATACTCCGAAATACTAAAATTCTTGTTTTCAAGCAAGAACACATACACAGATATAGACATATACTACAAGGCATAATATTGACCGTTATTTTTTGTGCTATTTTTCATATTTTATATGGTAATGTGCTCACCATTATAAGACGGTATCCATTTTAAACAACAAGAAACAAACAAAAAACACTTTATTTTGTTATTTTCAAAATAAACAAGTGCATAAAAACAAAAAAATAATCAACCAACTCAAGAACCGAACAAATAAATAAAAAAGCAAGCAAGAACCTATCCAACATATAAATAGATAAATAAATAAATAAATAAGAACGAAAAACGATACAAGCAACCAACCCAAGAGTCAAACAAACAAATAAAAAGTAAACAAGAAATTATTCAACAAAATGAACACACATAAATAAACAAATAATTTAAAATAAAAAAATAATAGAAACAAACAAAAACACTTTGTCTTTTATAAAATAAATGTATAGACAAAAATTTAACTAAGCAAACAAACAAACAACCCAAGAACAAAACAAATAAAAAAATATCAAGCAAGCAAGAAACTATCCAACACAATGAGCATAAATGAATGAATGAATGAATGAATGAATAAATGAGAACGAAAAAAACGTTGCCATTTTTAAATAAGTGTATAAACAAACAAACAAACAAACAAAAACAAATAAATTAAAAAAGAAACAAGCAACCAACCCAAGAGCCAAACAAACAAATAAAAAGCAAGCAAGAAATTATTCAACAAAATAAACACATAAATAAACAAATAATTAAAAATAAATCAATAGAAACAAACAAAAACACTTTGTCTTTTATAAAATAAATGTATAAACAAACATTTAACTAAGCAAACAAACAACCCAAAAACAAAACAAATTTTAAAAAAATCAAGCAAGCAAGAAACTATCCAACACAATGAACATAAATGAATGAATGAATAAATAAATAAAAAACACATTTTCCAGGATCTAGTTTACAGGTGATAAATCTTCCAGTGAACCTCTGTATGCGTAAATCTCCTCCCTTGGCGCCGTCTTTCTGTTGGTTTTTTTTCTTCTTCAATGCGCCCAAAAGGGATCAAACCCTTCAGATCCTTTAGAAACAATAATGGGACAATCTAAGGCTGTTTTATTTGCTCGTCTGATAATCAAAAGTGTCTGGCAGGCTTTGAAATCATGTATTCTTCAATAGTGGGCCTGATCAAGTTAATCTCGAGCAAGCCGCTGATAAACCAGATCAGCTATGCGTAATGATCCCGTTTGGGGCCAACAGATCCAAGGGCCGGCAGTTATCTCCGTCAGTAGTTGGGTCTCTGTAGACTACTGTGTCCATACTCGTGTAGTGTTTCTAAAACAGCCCATTAACCTCTACCTGCCACTTCAAAAGAGCCGCCTGCTTTGATACCAATACCCGCTGAAAAGGGCATAAACAAGAGCTGAATTACCCACGTTTGCAGCCACTCACAGGAACATTAAGTGTCTATGAGAGAGACAGAGCGCTTGTGTTTGTGAGAGAGACATTTTCACAAAAAGACACAACTGCAGTTTTGCTCTATTGGAATCAGAGAAACTGACAAGCAAACAAACAACAAATAAACAAACTGGGTTTTCATAAATAAACATAGGTTAACAATAATTTGTATTCTAAAGACACTATGAAAAAAAAGCAGAAGATAAAACATTTATGTTTTATCTTCTGTATTGGAATCAGTAAAACTAACTCTGAATGAATGAATAAATATAAAGATATAGGAAAGAATTTTCTCATTTGACACTATGAAATGTTTGAGCTTCATTTTGTTGTGTTGCAACTGACTCGTATTAAAGAAATAATAATTAAAAAAATTATTTGGATGTCCTTTTGCAAGTTGTTGACATTTCTGTTCTAAAGAGATTATAATAAAGGGCTTTTGAAAACATTATTTTATTGTGCTGAAATAAATAAATAAATAAATAAATAAAAAATTCTCATTTAACAAATGTTTGAGCTTCATTTTGTAGTGCTGGAACTGTAAATAAATAAATAAATCATTTTCTCATTTTACACTATGAAATATTTGAGCTTCATTTTGTAGTGCTGGAACAAACAAACAATCAATCAATCAGTAAATCCTTTTCTTGTTTTACACTGAAATGTTTGAGCTTCATTGTGTGGTGTTGGAAATGTAAATGTATGAATGAACAAACAAACAAATCCTTTTTTCAAGTAGTTGTTTTACATGACCATTTCTGTTCTTCTGATAAGGGACTTACATTTTTTTTTTGTGCATGCATGTATGCATGTATGTGTAAATAAATAAATAAAGGATGCATTTCTGTTCTCAAAATATTTTATAATAAAATGACTAAAAAATATCTAAATCTTTATTTTTTTATTCTGCAATGAGAAAGAAAGAAAGAAAGCTTTTAAGTCTAAAGTGGATTTAGCTCTGTAGACATTATGCGATGATGCTTTTGCAACATTTTAGTCAAATAACTAAAACTATTTCACTTTAGGGATTACCAAACATCGCTCTCGATTATGAATTCCAAGCCTCTGTTTTTAACCTTGAACTTCCTCCATCACACTGTTCTAACGTGAACACATGAAATCACACACGCACACATGCACACCTCAGAGAGGAGACAGGATCAGAGATGGTTTTAGGGAGGGGATTACATCTCCAGACTTACTGGTGCCAGGAGTTAATGGGTTCACTCAAGGCCGATTGAGACGTCTTCATTACCACACTTGTGAAACTGAAGGGGTGGAGATCAGGACGTTTCCTTTGATCCGGGGCGAAGTGAATTGTAAATGAGCTGGGATTAGTCCTATAAATACTTGAGCCCCATACTGGAGGTGTCGATCAGTGAACCCAAAGCCACGCTTATCAGAACACAAACACACATCTGACTCACTCAGACACGGGACTTCAGCTTCAAACTCACCCTAAAGAAGAAGAACTGCACAACTGACCTGTGTTATACTGGAGATCTGTCTTTCTTTGCTGGATTTGGACACAGCTGGTTCTCAAAGATGAAGGGGCATTTTTCCATCGAGTGGCTTTCTCAAAGCAGCCAGGCCTCGGCATCCACACTTCCCTCAAACTCTTGGGTCTCTCCCGGCCAGGACGTCCCGAGCACCTCTGCCTCTGCCTCTGAGAGCCTTCCTGGCTTCTACAGCAGATGGAGACCGGAAAGCATGGAGGATCAGGAGAAACGTATGGAGCCAGCACAACCGGGAAACAGCTTGTTGTGCACATCTACACAAGATACCGAGTCCAATGACAACAATATCATCCAGCAACACACTCCCGGTAAGAAACTGTTCCAATAATCCATGTTTGCATTGTTGAAGAATGAAATACTGATCTAAAAGTACTATTGTTATTTTATTTTGTTCTTAATTTAATTATCAGTGAAATAGTATAAATTCTTTAACATCTAAAATATATATATAATGGTAAGTGAAAAAATACTGGTCTAAAATACTATTTTTAATTTGTTTAACAGTAAAATAGTATAAACAAAACTTTAACATAGTTAGAAGTTAAGTATAAAATGTAAGTTTTGCCAACACAGGGATAAATTACATTTTAAATATTTTAAAATAGAAGGGTTATTTTAAATTTTAAATAATTATTTAAAGTAAAATACACATCTAAAATACTATTGGTATTTTATATTTATTAAAATAAATAGATTAATAGTAAAAATAGATTAAATAAATTTAAAAAAATTCCTTAACATAATAACAATAGTTAAAAGTACTTGTAAAATACTGTTGAATAATACAATAATAAATAAAATTAACACATTTGTGTTAAACAACTAATTAATTATTCTACTTTTCAAGTAGTTTTATCCTATTTTTAAAATAGGCTTACGGCAAATATTTTTTCAAAGTAATGCTTACAGCAAAATTACAGATTGCATAGGATCTATTTTATTTTACCGTTATGTCATATAATTTGTATTTATTTATTTATTCATTCAGTTGAGCAATATCCATTTAAATGCAAATTTACTCTTTCTCTCTTATGTAGCTGTTGTTTTGTTACCTGACTTCATATTTGAATCTTTGTGCTCATTTGTCTTTGTTTTCTGATAGCATCAGAGCCAGGTTTCAGCAGCAGCGCGGAGGAGGAGGAGACGTCAGGGTACGAGAGCGAGGGCGGCCCCTCTCTCTCACCTGGGGCCCCTGAAGAACCGGCGCCGTCGGTATCTCCCTCTACCGGCCGCAGACCCCGAACTGCGTTCACCGCGGAGCAGATCAACAGTCTGGAGAGAGCCTTCAAGAGAAACGCTTATCTCGGAGCCCAGGACAAAGCCGAGCTCTGCAAAAGACTGAATCTGTCTGATAAACAGGTATGAGGTCGATTAATTGTATTTATTATTACTATTATTTTAAATGGGTTTAATAATGTGATTTAAGGCGACTGCGTGTTAGTTTTTTGTACCTTGAACTAGTGATGCACAGCTTCGCGGGGCTTCGAAATCTTTGCGAATCGTTTGTTTTGATCCAGAGATTCGTATCAAACTGCCAAAGTCACGTGATTTCAGTGAACGAGGCTTCTATTACGTCAGTAGTATAAATTTGTAGACATTTTTGTTCAAATATTTGTATAATAAAAAGGAAGAGTAGTTAATCTCTTATTGGACTGTTTAGCCAAGCCCTCCATAAAACAAACAAAACAATTGATAATTAGCACATATTTAAACAGACACGGCATATTTAATGGTATTCGTTGATTTGTTAATTGCATTTCATATGTTATACTTATTGGGTTGGCAAAAGGTTTTTAATGCATGTTTGGCCAGAGTTTTTGTCGCATTTACACAGTTTTGACCAGCAGGCGTCACTAACGTGTTACGCTTCGATCGCTTCGAAGCAGTGAATCTTTTTGCGAAGCAATTGGATCAATTGATTTAAAGATTCGAATAGGTTCGTTTTTCCCATCACTGCCTTTAAATATCAGTTTCAAGATAGTACACTGACTTCTAAGAAGGCGAATGGCTTATCTTTCTTTCCCAAACGTCTGTTCTAGGAGCATGTTTTGTTAGGGACGATATTTCGCGAAAAGGTCGGGCCCCCCGCTCCTCACATTTTCCAGAACCGACGCATGAAGCTGAAACGGACCGTTCAGGACAGTCTGGCTCACGCCTGCCAGGCCAAGGTAGCCTCGCATATGATGCATTACTCCGATCTGCACAGTTTCCGTGCCGCTCCGTATCCCAGCTACTATTCGGCGGTCCAGGAGACCCCGGCACCTTACGGCCCGGGATTTCACTACAGCCCTGCTACAGCCGGAGGCCTGCCGACCCTGCCTGTGGAGGCCCTGTATCAGTACAGCACCCTACAGAGCCTTCCTGTCCATCCCAGCAACCCTTCCATGATGAGTCCATACCAGCCCTATCACTCGCAGTACTACAACACACAGTGAGACGAGAGACCGACAACAAAACATTCATTTCTGCCTGTTAAGCCTTGTGCTTTGTTTACATCGTTGCATTTGTGAATACAGGGTGAAGTGCAATAACAAATGTGATCTTTTTTTTATCGTTTTGATGAATTATTATTTAAATATGTTTGTAAATCTTGAGAAAGTTCTATTTCGTTCATGTCTATGTGTACAAGAGGAGTGTATAAATAAATCATTTTCTATTTGATTACACCAAAGTGTAAGGTGCTTTATTACTGCCATAAAATGAATACTTTTGAATGAATACTTGAACGTTAATACTTTTACTCATCATAGATGGATTAAATTGATCAAAAGTTACAGTAAAGACTCTAATTCTGTACAAGATTTGAAATTTCTATTTATCAAATTGTTTTCAACATAAGATAATAATAATAAATGTTTCTTAAAGCAACAAATCAGCATATTATAATGATTTCTGAAGGATCATGTGACACTGAAGACTGGAGGAATGATGCTGAAAATACAGCTTTGCATCACAGTAATAAATGATATTTTAAATTATATTCAAATAGCCGGTATTTTGAAATTGCAATAATATTTCACATTACTATTTTACTGTATTTTTGATCAAATAGATGCAGCATTTTACTTTTTCAGAAACATTAACGAGTCTTACTGACCTCAAATTATGTGGAGCCGAAACATAAACAATACTGTACTTAAGTATCATTTTGGGGATTTTGTACAACAAATATACTGACCTAAAACTGAACACTTTCAGCACGCTACTATCTATTGTTATTAAATAAACATTCAGTTACAAGGTTTCTGCAGGTTTTATGAAGTTAAGACTTTCTTTTTAAGAAAAGGAATAAATGGAAGGGAACACATCAATATGTTCTCTAAACGTAAAAGTCTAGGGAGAACGCAATGAGCCGCATTAGCAACACTTTAAAAATACAACTTCCAACATATCTCCTCTACTTCTTAATCATTTTACAGAAACAAATAACTTATGACTCAAATACCTCAGCTCGCAGCCACTAGAATACAGAAATGTATTTTACTGTAACTTCCGATCACATTGCAAAAATCTTAAATCGTCTAAAGATTCTTAAATGATGCATTTAACTGTGATGCAAAGCGCCACAAGTAGTCCTGTTTTCTAAAAAATTGATCCAAATGTTGACCAAAGTTTATGATAAAAAGCATAAGCTCAGTTATGTTTAATTTCTCAGGAAACCAGACATCATATCTGCATTTTATAGTTAAAGTAAATGTACTTTTGATTTAAAGAGACTACACACACACACACAAAAAAAAGATCCTTTAATGCCATGACTATGAAATTAAGACTTTCTGCTCCAACTTAAGACCTTTTAGTTTGTGGAAGGGCAAATAAACCCGTATGGCCACAGCTATTTGATAAACGTTTAGTTAATTATCAACTATAATCAAAGTAATAATGAATAAAACTACTATAAAATCATCTGCTGATAAAGTTAATGTTAAAAAAAATGGAAAAAGAAAGTTGCTTTAATACATTTACCGAAGTGCTTAAAGCGATATACTTTTGACTAATATTTTGACACTTCAAGTATCATTTCTTTTTACGCTTGTTTATTTCAATAGATATATACAATGGCAATGTAGCTAGGAAAATGTTAATATACATTTTACTCGCATAATCTCTTATGTCCGATCCAAGAATGACTATCAGGATTCATTTCAAAAGATTTCCTGCAGCATTTAGCGGAGCATAAAGCTAATATGAAGAGTTTCTAGGCAATACGTGTCAAATGAACGTCACAAAAAGGCAAAAACACTTAGAAAAAAAAATATTTTAATGTATAAAACAGATTTTAAAAAGCCAATAATGAAACCCAAACCTCAGAACCTTTTCCTTAACCCAACTAAACACAAAAACCATGATTACATTTCCTTACCCCACAACACGTAACACCCCCCTCCCCCATTAATTACCATGAATACAGTACGTCAAACTCTAAACATTGTTATGATAAACTACGCTTGCCAAACAAATGGGGAAACATATCAAAAGCAACTGCTCTCTCAATGCCGATTGCCGTTTTCTATACAAAGACAGAATCGAACATCAATGCATCTTATACGGTTTTCTGCTGGCCCTTCTTTCCAATCAGTGACTTGTGGATGTGTGGAATCACACCTGTAGGGAAAGACACAAAGACATGCCATTAAAATAATATCAGCCCTAAAAATATCCTTTTACAGCAAAGCTACATATTTAATGCAATGCACCTAAAAAAAAAATCAGGAGTTGTAAGAAACCCACCTCCACCAGCAATAGTAGCTTTGATAAGCGAGTCCAACTCCTCATCACCACGGATGGCCAACTGTAAATGCCTTGGAGTAATACGCTTCACCTTCAGATCCTTGGAGGCATTACCAGCCAACTCCAAAACCTGCGAATAAGATGAGCAATGGGTTTGAACGAGGTTGCATTTGCTTTACAGATGGGTTAGCGATGATTCACAGTAAGAGAAATCACAGCCAGCCAAAAATCTGCCACTATGGCATCCAACAGGCTTGTTTAACAAACCGTGCCAAAAGAAAATCATTACCTCAGCAGTCAGGTACTCCAAGATAGCTGCGCTGTACACCGCCGCTGTAGCTCCAACACGACCATGGCTGGTAGTTCGGGTCTTCAGGTGCCTGTGGATACGACCTACAGGGAACTGAAACATAAAAACCAATCAAACTCTCAATATCACTCAGTTAAATTCAACAGCAGTTCATTTTTTCTAATCTGGCAGAGGAATATGTACCTGCAGACCAGCTCTTTGTGATCTGGAGACTGCTTTTGTCTTGGCTTTTCCGCTGTCCTTTCCAGCTTTTCCTCCTGCCTGCAGAAGCACAAGAAAAAAGGATTATTTAAAAGTCTCATTGGGGGGGAAGATTAGAAATCTCTGGTGAGAGCTTTACACTGAGGAATATAGCAGTGAAACAAGTTTTACTCTGAAATTGCTAGCACATTTCACAAATAATTACAAAAAAAGACATTAATTAAACGTTATACCTTCGAATTTTTTTTTCGTAGAGACTTGTAGGTAATTTTGAATAATAAAGTGATTTTAAAAACCGCCCAAAAATGACTCATGATACCTTTGTATTCTTAGTATTTAAACAAAAGTACAAATAAACCAAAGTAAACTCTAAATTGAGCTTATTTTTAGATTTTTCAGCGTGTCCAAACAACATAAGCAAATTGTTTCGATTTTTATTTTTAAACATTACGTTACCTCTAGTCTATTAATTTAAGTTATTGCCATATCACATCAATCCTATTAAACGCACACATGCATTTTCTGGCTATTTGATTCGTTTTGCTAAATAATGCACCAAATTCACTTTAATCCACGCTCGGCGCTCTTTTCCAAGAACACTGCAAAGCCACAAACACCGCGAGCTTATTAAAAGCCATCACGTGCACAGAATTAAAGCACGGCACCTTTACAATTTATACAAAACATAACCGTCCGAGCTAGGCTTTATTTTAGAAATTAGACAATTAAAACTTGCTTTACCATGTCGTCAGACGAGCTTCTTCTCCTTTCGCACGAAACGGAGGGAAAACACAATGATGCCCACTTCAGCGTTTAGCGCGGTACGTTCCAGCGTAATAACCAATCAGCGAGCTACGTCTTGGTTTGAAACGTCGGTTTCGTCCAATCACAGAGCTTTTCTATATGTGGGTGTGTTGTTTTAGTTCTCTTTTTTCTTATTAGACCACCAGCGCAATAGTCTTGTGCGCATGCGTGCCGCCGTCATCATTCATTACAAAAAAAATGAAGTATTTTTTATTGTGATGTGATTGGGAATGTTTCGATTACAGTGAAATCTATAGACTAATAACGGGTATGTTATCGTGTATTCTGTTGTAAAAGCTACAATGCATAATAAGTCAGTTGTGTTATTTTAGGTCTCTTTCTGTTCAGCTTCCTCTTTTCAACACGTCTAAAACTAAAAGTGTCCTTGTGAGTCCCTTTCATTTTGCATGCGCTTATATCTGTTGATGACGATGAGATGACCTTAGCTAGGCCTATATATATAAGACAGCTACATAAAACAAAGAGGATTTTGAACAAAATTGAGCAAGCACGATTTTAATGTATTTTCTTATTTCTGCATTTAATGTGTATATCATAGAATGGCTCCTCTTCTTCATCCTATTTCTTTCAAGTCATCTTTCACTCGTTCACAGGATGATGTGTTTTATGTTTTGGGGATTTGTCTTAAAAAACTGTTAAATGTTCAAAAAAGCGAGTTTCTTTTACCTGGCCATGTTCCGAAAAAAATAATTTTGCCTCACCACCAAGACTCCTTACCTTGACTATATGCGCATGCGCGATCGTTTGCCGCCTTTTTTTTTTGTTTCTGAAGATTTACCTGTAAATGAATGAATTACCACAACAATAACGAGAAACGTAAGTAAAACAATAGAATTAAAACCTGATTATCATATGATTAAAAACCTATGTTCCTCAATTAAAATATGATTGCCATAGCCGTTGTCATGAAAATACCACCCAAAAGTGGCAATTCACCCACCCTCAACTATCCAAATGTATTGGCTTAATTTTTTAGCTGTATTAGGTTAAAAGTAACTCATTTTGGTAAATTTCCCCTCTTTTCTCTCGTTTTTGGCCAGTCTGTGAGTTTTTACTTCACTTTGTAGGCAGGTTAGATTTTAGGCTATCTTGATATTTTGGCCTGAAGTACTACCTATTTATTTAACTTTTACAAATTTGTTGTTAATAATTAAAAAATAATAAATAAAACAATAAACGTTAATCTTGAAGTAATAAAGTGTCAGTTGTGCTTGCACAGGAGGGTGTCTTTTCTTTTTATTTGTCGACAGTGGAGGGCGTAATAGTCCACATTTATTGTTTTCCGTCTTGATTTATTATTTTACAGTGTGGTACAGTCACAGTAGGCTAGCTATACATTAATAAACTTATTTAATTAAAAGAAAGGGATTCAGTCATAAAATCAAAAATCCACATAAGTAGCCTAAACAGTTTTTGCATTCTTTTGTTTGAATTATGATGCCCATCAATTTTTATTTATATATATATATATATTTAAATTATGTATATTAATTTTTATGTTTACATGAAGGTTTCCCAAAAATAGTTGAACAAAAAAGTGAACAAATAAATTATGCATTCTTGGATCTGTTCTTGGCTGTTGACAGACTCTGTATGTCAGTGAATCTCAACCTTTTGGCGTACCGGACCCCAGTCCAATTCAGAACCATCCTCAAGGACCCCCAGAACAAAATTGACTCATCTATGTATCATTTGTGTCTTTGTGAGGACCAAATGCAGTCAAGTATTATTCTAGTTAGTTGACTTGTCTAGTATTTGGCCATATCATCAGCTATATTGGATTTTTCTTTCATGGGAACATGTCATGACAAAGTATACAAAATTTATACAAAAATGCATACTTTATACGGACCCCCTGGCCTTATATCAAGGACCCCTGGTTGAGAAACACTGCTGTATGTGACACATAAAAGACATCCAGGGGCGGAGACATTTGTAGGATTTTGATAAAAAAAAAAAAATACTAAAATAAAATCTGTAGTATATTTCACTACTTAAACTTTTCACTTAAAAATATAATTTGTAATTTGATATTAGTGTTTTATCCCAGACCATTGGACTGCATGTTTATTAAGATTCAAGAGTAGTTTTGCAGTGACTTTGGTACACAGATGTGCAAACAAAAGCAGTGAACATGGCATGAGGTTTGATGTAGTTATGAAGCTAATAGGCTACTTCAGTTAAAATTTCTCATAGGTGATTCAAGAGTGTGCATGAGCAATAGCAATAGGCGAATAATTAGTGATTTTTTAAAAACCGTAGAAATACCTTTTGAGATATCAATTAAATATGTTTTGCTCATCTAATGATTTAGTTTTCATTCATTGTAAAATACTATAATTATGCTATATTTATCATAGGCCAAATTAATTCTCAGTTTCACAGTTTTTTTTTTTTATTGGAATGACAATATTAGGAACTGTGTTGGACAGAGCAATAATTAAAACAATTTGCAATCATTTAAGTCTTATTCAACCCAACCCGGGTTGTTCAACCAGTTACACACTGATTAGTGTATCACCTTCTACAATTAAAGAGTGATAAAAAGTGATAATTATTCATGTGCGTGCTTTTCATAATCACTTTCACAACACTTTTTTTTTTTGTATTTGCTGAATAATTAACATTCAAAAGTATAACGAAATGTTACAAACATGGTGTTCACATTTTCTGAAAGAAAAAAAAACAAACAAAAAATGACAAGGAGGGTATACATCAGTCATCACAATAGAAAAGAGGAGTTTAGTTCTTTGAGCGTATCCATAGTTCTGGTTGCTTTCCGATTTGAAAGACCTTGAAGAGTTTTAAAATAAATCTTCAAGTCAACTTTGAAGTGGGAGATACTGGGCTTCCTTTCTGACCATTTACATTTGTGTATATAAAACTTACCTAATAATATTAGAAGATTTAGCATAAAAATGTGACATATCTTTTTTATCAAAATAAAATATAACATCTCTTTTCCTTAATTTTCCTTAATTTTAGATCCACTCAACATAGTAAATAAATATTCAACATCAATCCAGAAAAATTTAACATACATTTGAAAAAAAGATGCAAAACAGTCTCTACATGCATTCCACAAAAAACACAAAATTCAGAGAGATCAGCTCCGTAATAATTATAATTATAATTTTAAAGTAAATTTCACTAACTTTATTTGTGACACAGAATTTGTTATTAAAAGTCCAAATCAATTTCCAGTTGATATTCTCAAAATGGTTTTTCCAGAAGTACTTACGTCGAAATGCTGCAGGGCAATGAATCAAACATCTAAAAAATGTATTATTACATTTTCTCTCTTTGATATCAATACCGTTTAATAAGATCTCTTTTTTAAATTCACTGAAGCCCTTTAAAAGCCTCACAAATCCTGCTGGTATTGCATCAACTACAATACTGTATTCACGCGGAGGTATTGGAATACCAAATTTCTCTAAAAATTCAGTATATGTAAGTAAATATCCTTCATTATTTATCAACTGTGAGACCATTAGAATACCATTTCTAACCCAATTAGTATAGAAAATGTATTTGTTC